AGTGACAAACAGACACAAACAGACAGAGGGAAAACAGGAATCCCACACTGCCTACCATCAGACTGCATAACCTCTCTGGCCCTAAAAGGGAGACCGTGCAGAATTGTTTTGAATAATTCCTTGCCTCTAGGTTAATCCCTCCCTCAACATCTCCTGTGGAGGCAGGGTTTTTCTTTGTGGTCAAGAAAGACAAAACATTGAGATCTTGCAGCTCCTCAGACTGACAAAGTCTTTTGGATAAAAGATGAAACATTTCAACATTTTTTTTTAATCTGTCCAGAGGACCTGACTTAACTTTGTTAGGTTTTTCTACCTTTGAGCATGCATCAGGATATTGAGATCTTGTTATAGGGGCCTTAACCAGATCAAGGTCAAGGTCAAGGTTTCTTTATTGTCATTTGTGTCTCATGTGGTACATGTGGTAGAACGAAATTGTGTACACAGGGCCCCAGTTACATCCAATAAAAGTATAAAATGTAAAAGAAAAACAGTAATAAGATTTCAGATATGAACTAAGAAATAGGCTAAACTAAGAATACATTAAACACTTACTAGTGTGAAAACAATATGCCGAACAACAGCAGCACAAACATGAGTCTGTGTGAGCAGATGAGTATGAATGAATACGAATGAATACAGGAGCATGAAATAAATTAGCAGCATGAGATTGGCAGCATGGATAGTCAGCAGCACATATCAACAATCAAGTGGCATTACAGTGAGTTTTTCCCCCCAGTGATAATCCTGGTTAGGGATTCATGAGTCTAACAACTTCAGGATAGAAGCTGTTCCTCAGTCCTCAGTTCCCCATATAATGGTAAAACAAAAACAAACAAAAAACACATGTCCATTACCTCTCATCGATTCAGTTTACAAACAACTCCATTTAGTTGCCATTTTTACGAAGCTTAACCTGTGTAACCCCTATCAACTAATTTAAATCCAGAAAGGTGAGGAATGGAAGACCGTTTTTAGGACACCCCTTGGACAAATAGAATACTTGTTCATGCCCTTTAGGCTGACCAACACCCCCGTTGTTTTCCAGGCTTACATGAACGATACCCTTTGTGACTTCCTGAATGTCTTTGTTTGTCTACGTTCATGATTATAGAAACTTATTCTACAGATCCACAGTAACACATATCTCATGTCCGAGCAGTTCTTCATCATCTCCTAGAAAATCAACTCTTTGTCAAAGCAGAAAAGTATGAATTTTGTGTTTTATCTGTGATCATTCTGGGTTTTATCTTTGAGAGTGGGCAGGTATGGACAGACCCTGATAAGATCAAGGCTGTGGCAAAGTGGCCAGCGCCAGAGGACCAGAAACAGCTTCAGCGGTTCCTGGGGTTGCCAACTTTTACAGATGGTTCATGAGGGACTACAGTCATGTAGCAGGAACTCTCCCTCAACTCACATCTACCCTGAGACCTTTCGCCTTGACTCACGAGACCAACACCGTGTTTCTTAACTCCAGGAAAACATGCTGGTCATAGTTTTTTTTTCCCTGTTTAACTTTACCATAACCTACAGATCTGGATTCAAAAATGTAGAGTGTGATGCTCTGTCCAGACAGAGTTCCTCCTCAGATAATCCCAAGTCAGAGGACAGAATAATGCCTCCTACTTACACAATGGGTGTGATGACATGACCTATTTCTAAAAGATATTCAAAAGGCCATATGAGACAAACATGAACCTGTCACTTATCCTCCTGGAATATATTAGTTCCTGAAACATATAAAAGTAAAATCTTGTAATAGAGCCACACCTCTAGGTTTACATGTCACACAGGAATGCACCGTATGTTACTTTTTGCCAAACAACACTTCTGGTGGCCATTGATGGCTTTGAGACATCAAGGAGTTTGTGTCAGCATGCCCCACTTGGGCCTGGAATAAGTGTAATAACCAGTCCCCAGCTGGACTTGCAGTCTCGACCCACTCCTATCTGTTCTTGGTCCCAAACGGTGTTTTTCCAACACTACACATTTTATTCCTCTACTCAAGCTTCCCTCCTCATTGGAGACTACCCAACGCCTAGTTCATTGCGTGTTTCTACTTCATGGGATTCCTATCGAAACTGTGTCTGACCAAGGACCACAGTTGTATGGCAAGTGTGGAAGGCGTTCTGTCAAGCCTTGGGAGCTTCTTCCAGTTCAACATCCAGATACCATCCACAGTCAGTCCAATAGGTGTAATCAAAAAGAGGGAGCAGCTTTGAGGTGCATCACTGACAATCATTCTACCTCTTTGTGTCAACATCTGCCTTAGGTGAAGTATGCCCAAAATTTGCCAATTTCTTCTGCAACTGGTTTATCTCCTTTTGAGGCCTCTTTAGATTACTCACCTCCTCTGTTCCAAAGTCAGGAGACAGACATTTCAGTCCCTTCAGTACAGCATTATCTCTGCAGATGTCAGAGAGTTTGACACCAGACCAAGGAGGCTCTTCTGTGGACTGCAGACCAGAACAAAATGTTTTCTGATTCACATACACACAGCTACCAACTACCAGGTGGGTCAAAGGGTTTGGCTCTCAACTAGAGACATGGCTTTAAATAATACGCCTAAGAAAGTAGCCCCTATGTTAATTTGCCCTTCCCTGTGGAAATAATAATCCAACAGCAGTGAGACTCAAACTACCTATTTCTATGAGGATCCAGTTCACATTCCACATCTCCCATGTCAAACCTGTTAAAGAGAGTCCACTTTGCCCACCTGCTGACCTCCCTCCACTGCCCATCTTGTCAATATTCAACCACCCTATACTATACAAAAGATTTTGGATGTTCGCCGCAGGGGTCGAGGCTTCCAGTACCTGGTGGCCTTGGAGGGTTACGGACTTGAGGAGAAATGGATCCGCAGATCCTTTATCCTAGACTATAGCCTGATCTCATCCTTCTATAGAGCCTATCCAGAAACACATTTTGGATCACCAAAAGGCGATTCTTAAGATGGGGTGATTGTGGGGATTGCTACTTTCTGTTCATTAACCACACTTTGCAGCTTCCTGTGTGACATGGTGGCTTTAATGATCACCAGCTGTTTCTGATTCTGGCTGATTAGATCCAGTTTGTAATGCCCTGTTTACACAAACATTTACACATTTCCATGTGCTAACAAATTGATTATTTTCGAAGTTATCCAGCTCACAATGTTTACATATATATATACATATACAATG